TATGCACCGAGGAACCCAGAGCAGGCAGCTTTTTAAAAGGTTCTCCTTGGCACTACAGATTGCGAACGCCGCTTGCGTACTCGGAACAACAAATTACAAAATAACTTTCGACGAAATTTTTCATTTGTAACAGTGTCGAGTTGCGTGTTTTTATTGAAGAAACGTAACCCGTATCGATTTTAATTGAAAAAGACTTCAACACTTGTCATCTTCTTTTATCATTATCTTTACCATATCTAGAAAATTTCAAGGATTTTGACTGGTATATGTGCTGAAGGTACTCCTGACTGTAACTTCGGTTACTATGATACTTTTGACCTTCTGATTACCCTTTAAAAAAGAAAGACTAAAAAAATAAAAATAAAAAAATTGAAATAGAAGAAATTAAAAGAAAAAGAAAACATTCAAACAGAAGAGATGCACAATCTGCTATTTCGGTTGAACACAAAAACTATGATTTCGTTATGTAGTCGCTGTGTGTTCGAGACTGATCAAATAGTTTCAAAAAAACGTTAGAAAGAAAAAAATTTTCTGAGGGTGATAACTTTTTGATGTTGATAAATTTGGTCGTAGCCATTTTTGCAGGGGACCTTCCCCACAACCCAAAATATGGGCCAAACTCGAAATATGGGTCAAAAGATGCCCTCGTTGAAATTTTCGAAAGCTGTAGGAAGTGGGATAAGGTAAAAAGAGACAAGGGTTTTATGCAGGTAGATAGCGAAAAGTGAAAAAACATAATTCGAAAGCGTTTCAAAGATGAAATAAAAAAAAATCCCTTACATTTTCATAATACCTGTTTTTATCTAAGGAATTTCCAAGGTTTTGACTGGGCTGCATGATAAAAGATGAATGAAATTCGGTTTGCTTGATGGTTTTTGTACTCAAGATTTCCAATAAGAAAAAAAGAAAGAAATATAACGCAGGATCGTCATACAAGTTTCAGGTGTTATTCTGGGTTAAAATGAGCTGGAGAATTTTTCGACGCTTGAAGTTTACATATGTTCCTCTGAAACCGTCATGGAACCCTATAAACGAACCAATCTTAAACAGCTCTCTTAACGACGAGACTTTGAGTCGGATTGAAGCACTCTCTTTGATGGACATCAAGAATATAAAAGAGAGACAACAGCTGGAAGATGCAATAAGTCTCGCCACGAGGCTCCATTCTGTCAATACTGAAGGTGTTGAGCCGTTGTACATGTTATCCAAAGTTGAATCAAAATCTCTACGACCTGATGTAGTTAAAAGTATTATATCAGCTGAAGAAATCAGAAAATCTGCTGAGAAAACATCAGATGGTTTTTATACTACAAACACAAGCAATATTAACCAAACATAAGCCGGCGTTGTTTCTTTTGAGCTATTTTTTTCCTTCAATTAAAGTTAACTACTTGAAGGTAGATAATTCTTTTTGCTTTCGAATTCTTTTGGATCAACTTTGAGTTTTGAGAAACATGGAAATTGTACGCTTGATCAATTTTTTAAGTGTCTGATAATGAGTCACGGTCTTTTTGTGACTTATATAATTAAACTTAACAAAATGTACTTGAGTCTGGTTTAGATTTCTGGTCATTTTTACTCTTGCGAAACTTAGTGAGCGTTAGTGTAATAGTACGACCATTCATTTTTTCTAACCTAAGTCACAAATATTGATATCACTATTGTTGGCATCTTTACGGCTTTTTTGATAGTATGTGCTGTGACATTCGAATTGTAATAAGTTAACACAGTTGATGCTGTTTTAATTCATCAAATGAGCCGAAAGGCTTTTTGTTTGAAACAACATGTCAATAATAAAATATTTTGTCCAACTGATTTATTTGAAATTGATGGCTTACTATTATTGTTTTTCTGACACCCCTATAAGAACTGGGTTAGAAGTAGGGCTTCGTGTATCGGGCGCATTTTGACTACCTCGAAGACTACTTCGCTAAGTCTAGCAAAAAAAAAGAACAAAAAAGCAGCTTCAAAAAGTGAAATAACAACTTCAGACAATAAGCCTCGAATTAATAAAACTTTGCAAGGTATTGGCTTCGAACCTGCTACCTCGATATTTGGAGATCACGCCCTGCCCTCTCGGGCACGAACGCTTAACAATCGGCTAACAATAGTCACAAATAAAGCAGCTACGCATGCTATTAAATTGCCAAACCGATGCAGCAAAAGTGGCATCAAATACGAACATTTGGTGCCACTTTTGCTGCATTGGTTTGGCAATTTAATAGCATGCATAGCTGCTTTATTTGTGACTATTGTTAGCCGATTGTTAAGCGTTCGTGCCCGAGAGGGGAGGGCGTGGGACTCCAAATCTGGAGGTAGCAGGTTCGAAGCCAATACTTAGCAAAGTCTTACTAATTCGAGGCTTATTTCTTTTTTTTTCACTTAATAAAACTGATTTTCTGTTATGTTCGCGCTAGTGTTTGTCAAGTGCAGCTTCGCTTGTGTTACGCTTGGGATTAGCAACCGTCATCAAATCGGAATATACTTTTTTTTTCCAGATGAACAACTTCTAGAAGAATCATTTCAGTTCACTTTATTTTCAATTCAACTTCACATTTTCTTTGCACGGGACGTCTGTGCACAGTTCAAAAAAGTTCCTGTGTTTGAATCCTGACAAGAATTGTTGGTGAAACTCGAAAATTTGTCCATTTGAAAACCTTTTTTGAGAAAAAATGTCTGGCTATCGCCTGTGGACTTAAATGCCGCAACGTGGTCTCTTCTTGCTAATTGAGAAATTAGCACTATAATTACGAGTCGATAGGCAAAGGTACTTCTAACCCAGTTCTTATAGGGGTGTCAGAAAAACAATAATAGTAAGCCATCAATTTCAAATAAATCAGTTGGACAAAATATTTTATTATTGACATGTTGTTTCAAACAAAAAGCTTTTCGGCTCATTTGATGAATTAAAACAGCATCAACTGTGTCAACTTATTACAATTCGAATCTAGTCCTGGACTCGAATAATTTGTTTTCACAGACTTCGCACGCAACCGGGTCCTGGACTCGAATAACTTGTTTTCACAGACCTAGCACGTGAAAATATTTTACACACGTTTTTTCTTGCTTTCATATAAACTGTAACGAGGAATTCTGCGCATTTGGTGCAGTGCTAAGTGCTGTGCTTGAAGATGAATCCCGATATTTCGGTTCCAGTCGGCTGTTTTTTTTTGCAAATTGAATTTTTTAAGTTTTTGGATTTTATTTTGCTTTACTCAGTCATTTCGTATCGCAAGTTAAGTTGAGTTCAGCTTCGCCTCTATTAAGTGATTTTGATTTGTAATTATGATGTTTTTAGCCCTGATTTTGTTTATAGCCTTGATTTATTTTTTTTTTTTTGTGATTTCTAAAGTTTATTCGGTCTAAATGGTTTCAGCTAAATCACTCAATGCAGCGTGTTTTGAAATAAAAGGTTATAGAGTTTTCACCGCGTGTGCTTCTGCTCGACGGTGAAAAGGTTCAAGTTTCAAAGCGACTTTGCTACGCTTGCGATTAGCAAGCGATATAAAATCGGAATATAGACTTTTTTGGTTAACTTTTTGTTCAACAATATCATATGAATTGTTTGATAGATTGGCTTATAACAAATTGAAAATCTTTAGCTTGACTGGCGGACTTATCTGAGACAACGACTACGTCAGTGACAGAAATTTTTTTTTAGTTGGCGTCTGGTCAGGACCCGCTTTTTTTGTCAAACGGGTAATATTCCGTTTCATATAAATTGTTTGCCTATTGTTTGTCTGCTTAATTTGTGTCTTTTAAAGTGCCACATCCCAATTTTTGGGTTGGAAGTTATTTTCATTTTCATTACCCTTGCGATAAGCAAGGGTATTGAAATCGGGTACTAGACTTTTTCCCCGTAAAACATTTTGTCCGCAGGTAAAGAAAAATACTAATACTTAACTATAAAATAGTTCAGGCCTGATTTAGGTTGTAACTATTACTAAGAACTTTTTCATTTTTTTCTGGTTCCTGGTTTTTGTCTCAGTTTCTGTCCGTTCATTTTTCGTTTTTATAACGTCATTTTCTTATCTGGTAAGGATTTTTATCGGTTTAATTTTAAAAAAGTTTTTGCTATAACTGAAACTTCACAAACTTGTAAATTTACCATGTCTTAGTTTGAGGTTTTTTCATTTCTTTTAATTTTCAAACAGTTTCCGTTTTTGTTATATCGACTAAGTCAACTTATTTTTCCGAGGGCAAAATATGTCTGTTTGGGATTGTGTTTCAGTTTGGATGGGTCTTGAAAACTTTCAAATTCATGAAATTTTGTATGACAACAGTTGTTTTCCGCTCAACAGGTCTCGACCCAGCGTTTGTCACTTTTGTTACCGCTCGTTAAATCATTTCCATTTTTAAGGGTTGTTTATGAATTTCACCTGATAAAAATATAAAGTTTTAGTAACTGTAGTTTTCCAATTTTTGTCAAGTTTTTTTCGACTTCTGCCCTTTTTTCATCCACTGTTTTGTAGCGCAATGTGTTTTTTTTTGTATCGCAGGTGGTGTGTTCATTTAATCTGTTTTTTTTCGGTTTACAGTTTTGTCTGAGCTATTTTGCCTTATGATTTGTAGGTTTTTGACCTAGTTTTTCGTCATCTGAAGGAAAAATAGATTTAATTTTTGTGGGGTTTCCGGAGGGTGGGTGGGGCATAAAATTTCACAAATTCCAAAAATTTTTATGACAAGTTTTGCTTTTGGCTCAACGGGCATTTACCCAAGTTTTGCCGGCTTAGTTGCTGCTTGCTAAGTGTTTTGGAACACATATTTAACGCTGAAAAATCATTCCAGGCAAATTTTTGTGGTACAATCAGTGATGGGAAGCTCCTTTTCGCTTCTGTGCTAATCTCGATTCATCAAAGTTTTTTTTTTATATACGAATTGAAGTGTTATTTATCGAAAATGTACAATGTCTAAAAACCAATAATTGAAACGCTGTTAGAATTTTGTTTGCTTCGAAGTTTCTTTTTATCCCCCCATTTCCCATATTTAAGACACAAAGCATGTCATCAACAGAACGAGAACTCGCATTCAGTCACGAGGAAGTGAAACATTGTATGACGAAGATCGTTGAGGCTGCGTTTGAGAATCCCCAAAACATAGCTCGACTGAAGGAGGCTAAGTCCCGTGCGGGAAGCGATATGGTGAAAATAATGCAGTTTGTATTTCCCATTGCCATAAAAATTCAACAAGAAACAATGGAACAGTGTGGCTATCATTCTGATTACGACTGTAAGTTTGGATAGAATTTGAATTGCTGTTTGGATAGATGAGATTAGTAGAAAATGAATGGCATGATTAGTTATTAATTTAGTCTTTCCGGTTTTCTTATTTCCCAGTTAATAATATCTTCAGCTTTGCTTTTGCGCCCATGCGCTTGATACTCGATTTCAATTTAAATAACAAAATTCGCTTTAGCGTAAGAGATATTTTTTGTCGAGCGGAAATAAAACGTACTTCAGTTTCGAAAGCCAATTTCATTTTTGATTGGAGCAATTAACCCTAAAACGACTGACAAGGGATTTCGTTTAACAAAGAGTTTCATTTCGACTTGAAATAGATCGTGATACAGTTAGAAATAAATTTAACCATTGACACGTCTATGTTTAATTAGGTTTAAGAAAATCTTCTTAAATTTCTTTGAAAATCTCTCGGTAAATTTTTCGAGGCTTTTGATTGGTTAATGATTTGTATTTCAGCGGCTATCCGGTTCACACAAGTGCTGCATCGCTATGAGAAGACTGACGAAGAACTTGCATCGTTGGCAGCTCGCTTCAAGACCATCTTTATGCCCCCTCTTTTTTCACAAGCTCAAATGTCACCTGCCAACCAAGGACCAATTGCTCCACATGACAGTTACGACCCAACCGGATCCGCTCATTTTACACAGATTTCAACGGCTTCTTCAACAGGCCATGTTCCATAAAATGAGACTTTTGATCTGTCATAGTTACTATTCGATGGTATGCATTGTATGACACCGTTTGAAAATAGAGAGAAACGAAGGAACAGTGCGCCGGCGTTTTTGGACTGTTAACTCAGAAGGAAGTTTTCTGAGGCACATTTATTTTATGAGACACATTGGTTAGATAATTTTAAAAGATGATTTTCATGATTATCTATGTAATTGAATTGTACATAAAGTTATTTTCATGAACCATTTGAGCTAGCTAACAAGAATAAAATCTTGAAGCCATAAATGCACATGCAACGGAGATGACTACTGGGAAAAAGAAAACCGAAGTACGAGTGCCTCTTCGCGGCAGTATCCACGTCATGCCTCACAGCATGGCTCAAATCTCGTTCAAAGTTTCTGTAACAGGAACATCGTTGCCCAATTCGTGTTTTATTCTGAGAACGGAGAAATCCAGCGACTACGTTCCCCTACCATCCAGCTGGCACAATCAATAACATCTTTCTGCTAAGAGTCGGCAAAGTAAAGAATCCAGGACGGTTACGTATCTGCCCTATCTGTGATAAAAAAAAGAGCTCACACAAACGTCTGGTACCTTTTTGGCGGATGGGTATACTTCTCTTTCCCCTCGTTACATAACAGCGGAATTGTCTCGAAACCAAAAAATAAGTACTCCGGAAAAAAGGAATGAAGAAAACAACTGCGACGATTTCTAAGTTTTAAAACTGAATGAAATTGGCCTGCATCCAAAACTTAGCAACATCGTTCACTTCATGGAAACCAAAATATCTATTGCCCCTATTTAGAAAACCTAATTTCATGATAAAGTCACCTGTAAAATACCTCTAGGCTACTCAATAAACATGGAGGTCTCAATGGAGTTCTCAGTTACTCAATGGAGGCTTAGCTTTTCTCGTCAAAAACATAATTAAGCATATTTATCATGAAATACAATTGAACACCCAAGACTGAGTTGAGAACTGCGAAACAAAATTAAATCGAGAGGCAGTCAGATAAAGCTTACGAATCTATACATCATACCACTCTCAAGCTGCTACACTAGTTACACCGCATTCGTCAATCAGCTTTCAGGACTTTCTAATACTCGGTGATATTAATGATCATAACTTTTCTGAATTTGAGAAAGATGCAAGTTCAAAAACATCAAAATAACAACATTTGCAGATGATTTTTCTATTATCACAACCGGTCCAAACATCATTGAACTTGAACTAGAGATACAGCCCCAACAAAGTATTCTGTATTCTTGGCTTCCAAAACGCAATTGAATACTATCTGCAGACAAATTGTCAGCGACTATCATAACTACCTGGAATAAAGTAATTAATCAAAAGAAGTGATTATCGAAAATAACCCACAACCTACCATCCAAAAACCTAAAACTGTAGAAGTCATTGTTGTTAACTTTTTTTACTTTCACGGAACATATTACCTTAGTGATAATCAAATTGGAAACACTGAACTACGATAGTGGGTTACTGCGCAAGTAGCACAGAATGTTCCGACTATAATTTTTAGAAAACTACGGTTTAGAAAGTTTTTTTTCCAAATCAGTGTAGTTTTTTTATGCTCGGTGTGATCAAATGATCTGACGTAAAAATGAATTTCAGGTGTATTAGACAGTCATAGTAGTATATGCAAATTGTACAGCATTTGTTGTAGAAAGTTTACTAGGAAAGCTAAAAAACTATATTTAAAAAAATTTCTCAAAATTTTTAGAAAAACTTGTGTTACTTGCTCAAATTTAAGGTCCTAAGTTAGGCATAATTTAAGCCAGCTTTTGTTGTAAGCCTGCTCGCTTGCTTCTTTTGCTCGAATTAAGAAGAAACATCAAAAATTTGAAACCGGTTTTTCAGATTTTTTTATGTGATTCGAATTACAACTGAAAACGTTTTAATCTGATATATCAACCCAGTCCGATGATTATTTGTCGTACCTGATTTTGCGTGAAAAAAAAACAAACACACGAATACAAAGTTCCTCCCCATTTTCAATGGTCGTAACAATAACTTACTGAGACTTTCAGGCGCAAGATGCGTTTTGCAGCAAAGAAACTCTAAGTATTTCATACGAGGCCAATGGGTGTAGTGTTATGAATACGTAGCTCCTGTCTAGACAATTTCAGTAAGTTAATATCTTCGCTGGAGTGGTCTTCAAAATCGACCAATTACAGCGCTCAAAATTGTAACAGGCTGCACAAAACTGACTCCAATTAAACACCTTCATAGCGAAACTTAAATACTGACCGCCACAAAACCAAGAGCAACTCGATGTCGAGACTTGAAAAACCAAAAAAAAAAAATACTGTGGCTGCATCAAAAACATCTTGATGAAATTAATCGCATCACACCAGATCAATGTCTCTTGAGACATTTCTTCCAAATGAATTGAAAAACTGCGTTAAGAAACATCCCTTCAAACTGATGGGCTCTCAAAATCAGAAATTTTTTCAGAAAAAAAACAGCTTTTTTAGAAGTTAACGACTTACTCTTGTGCAACTCCGCTGGTTGTCGAGGTTGGGCAAAAGCATCAAAAAGTTGCACAAACTGTAACGCTAGAATGTCACATGACAGTCACCACCTTTTAACTGTCCATCGAAGCCAAGATCTCTAAAACTTGACGACATGTAAGACAACCTTGTTGCAGTTACAAAATAGCTCAACTTATCAACATAATGGATTCGGAACTTTTTCTCGGTTCTCCTCGCTAATTAAAAACTGCCCGCTTGAACCAGGCACGGGAGTTTTGCTTCGTTCTCCGTTTTAAAATTGGTTCAAAAGTTAAGAGAAAGAGTAATAAGAATCGAAGTAGAAAGAGTATATGGAAACAATATAAATACCAAATTGCGAGAAATCAGCCTTAGAGAACTTCGAGAGTGCATACAGAACCAGACCGTGTAGGCTTACAATAGCTTATTTGAACTTAATTTAAGCAGTGAAATTTTAGTTTATTCAAGTAAAGGTAAATTTTGGAGTTTTTTACTACAATTTTGGGAATCAAAAACTTGAAATTTCAAAAAATGTCCGCAAAAAATTTGAGAAATTTTTTTTCAGTTTTTTTTTTCGTTTTTCCAGTCATTATTCTTTAAAAACTGTTTTCAAATTGACTTATTTTACTATCACTCTCAAAAATGCCTAAGTTCTATAATTTCGTTCAGATTTGTTTATCACAACATGGCGAAAAAAAACGACACCAAATTGACAAAACATTTTTTTAAAGACTGGTCGGAACATTCTGTGCTACTTGCAATGTAACCGGCTATCCTTGTTGTTATTTCCATTTGTTCCATTCAAAGGTTTTTTGACTTGAAATGTTTCATCACATGCTATATCAGCTTAGTATGCTGGTTATGTTCATGCTGACAATTTTTTTGAGGTTTCAACTTTTATTTTCTAAGTTCAGTTTATTTCTTTTAAAAGGAAAGCAAACTTCATTATCGAACAGCAAAGGTGGAAAGATTATGAAAAACGTGAACGACATCTAACATCGAAATAAGTTTTTACATAGATTTCTTAGCAGAATGAAAAAATTTTCATCCACCTTTCTCGAATTGGGACGCGTTCATTGGGACTTTTCCAACTCTGTTGGCTATGTTTTCGACTTTATGACTTCCGGTTTCTTTTTTGGCTGCTATCTCTCCATGTTATCTTTGAGTGCATCGTTGGTGGTGCAA